TTCTGTGTTCTTGAAATCAATAGTGAGATTCCATCAGCCACACCATACAACTGAAAAGATACGTAGCAATCCGCCCTCTCAGAAAACACACCGTCCTCAGCTCATGGATTATGGTTGGGCTTCATTTGCCTCAAAAATGTTTCACATCATCGTTTCTGGTTCAGTCCTGTGAGGTTCTTCAACTGAAAAAAAACAACATATTTTAAAAATGGGTCACCTTATTTCAGATCAGCTTCCATTTATCATTAACTGCAAAGCTACTAACACTCATATGTACCCCCACATTATTAGGAAGTATAACAAATAATTCAACGTAGCATTCAGCATGATAAAAAAACACACTCATTAAACTAAGGCATACATGTGCAATGCTCCAAATTAAATACAGTAATTGATAGATGACAGGTCCACAGAGGATTTGTTGGAGCTGTCAGTCAAATAGGGATAAAAATGTACTTTTTCCAATACATTGAGATGCAATCATAAAACCTTTTATCAGAGCTGGTGGTATGGTATGGTGGCATCTTGTCTGTTTTTGTTGAACTAAAAGGTCTTGCCAGGAGATAGAGAGGAAGAGTGAAGAAAGGTGATTCAAACGATACTTTGAAAAAAAAAAAACAAAACAACAAAATTAAACCCTCTTCCTTCTCTACTTCTGTGTTGTAATTTGCAGTATTGAGGCAATTTTGCAGATCCAATGCTGCCATCATGTGGGCAAATGTGGATGTTTAAAGTTTAGCAGCTGAGAAATAGACCAGGTCCATTAATAAGGAAAGGTCGGAGATATGCATCAGAAGCCATGATGGCTACAGTACTTTTATTCGCTGATTAAAAAGAAAAAACATCCTCTGAAAACTCACCGTAACTGCAGCTCCCATGAGACCCTGTGCTACAGCTTCACCAGTCAATTTCATCTACAGGGAAAAAGAAAATTATGCCACGTCGTCCGAACAGGTATTTTGGTTTTTAATTCATTCACACTTTCTCTCTGCTGCCCAGCCAGGGCAGAGAACATTCAGAACATGACTAAAAGAGAGAGATTCATCTCTTGAATGATCAAACTTGAATGTTTTCTGTCTCAATTCTTCTGTACCTGCTGTGCCGTGACGGCCATGTTGGTTACGTCCTGAATGCGGTTATCAAGGAAGGTCCAGGTGTCCTGGAAGTCCGGAGAGGAATCCTGCAGCATCACCAGTTCTGTTGCGTTGTACAGACCGGTCAGCACTGCCCGCTTCGTGTACCAGTTCATCTTCAGACGGAAGGAGGACAGAAAAATAACTTTGACGTATTGTTGTGGAAGAAACGGACTGTTACTATCACATATGAATTTACCATTTATTAAGACAAAAGATGCAGAGTAAAAAAATAAAAAATAAACATGCAGAAGAGTGAGATTCAGAAATCTCAAGAATAAAATGAGAAAGAAGACATGAAAGTTGGCTTGGTGATGGGCGGGGAAACCTGAGACGTAGCAGGCCGGATATTGTGGGGGTGATGATGAATGGGAGAGAGGAAGGTATGAGCAGAAGAGGAGGAGGATCGACGGTGGGAGGATCCACTCACGTCTGTGGAGCGGTCCCCGGCATAGTACCAGATGTCGTCCACCATGGTGGAGAGATGCTTCAAGCTGTCGGGGATGTTGTGAGGAAGGAGCAAGATGCTCATCGCCTACGGACACAACAGCAAGAGAAAGGTGAAATGTAATTCTTACTGTTTCTGCTGGGAGTGAGTGTTGATGGTCACCTGTGGCCAGGATTCCATGTAGGGGATGTACATCCGCAGCCTGGTCTCTACTGCGTCTCTTAGGAAGTCAGCCGTCTTCTTTGGTCTGCAACAGAAATAGCCGACAGGGAGTTCGGGTTTCCAAAAGTCTCACAAAAGTAGTTGTACTGTAACTTTTGAGCATTTTCTCAAATCCAAACCACAAACTTCACTGAACGGAAATTAGATTTTATGTGACAAAGTAATGCGCAATAGTGAGGTGGAAGGGAGAGACTACAAGGTTTCAAAATGTTTTACAGGAAAATATCTAAAAATTGTGTGGCACACATGTGTATCCAGCCCTCCTGAGATAATACTTTGGAAAACCAGCTTCTGTTCAAATTACAGCTGGAGGTTTCTTGTGACATGTCTCCATCAGCTTTGCAGGGCTAAACACTAAAACATTTGCCCCTTTTTTGCAAAGCAGCTCAATGCAGCATGAAAGCATTCATCTTTAAGTCTCAACATACATTGCCAACTTGATGTAGGGTTTGACTTTGACTAGATCATTCTAAAACATTACAAATTTCCTCATCTAAACCCTTCTACTGCAGCTCTGCTTGTAATTTAGAGCTGCCTGCCGATGAGTAACGTCTCAAGTCTCTTGCAGATTCTGAAAGTTTTTATTTCTGAAATGCACAGTGAGGTTGTGCGTACATACTCTGCCTGACCCAGCTGGACTTGATTGTGTTGCTCAGCCAGGATCTCTGTCAGCTTGGAGTTGCACTGGGAGATGAAATGTAGCACCAAGTCTCCCGCTCCGTTGGTGAACATCCCAGTGGAAGCAGAAGACAAACCCACAGCCTGGGTGCAGCACAGCAATGACATAAAAAACATGAGCTGACCCTTCAAAGATAACCTGAAGCCTCCTTTAACATAATGAAATTAATTTGCTCCTGTTAATTCCAATTGTTGCACAATCCAGATAATCTCAAATTGAACAACTGCTTCAAAAATTACCTTGGCCTTAGAAAGGTGAAGTTGTTGTGTTGAAAAAAAAAACATTCAAAAGTCCAGATAACTTTTTAACTGCTGATAGAAGAAGTAAAAAAAGAAAAGTAAATATATTTGGAGGTTATTTAAACCTTACTTCAGCACCAGCGGAGATGGCCTCCATGGACCAGCCGTGCAGCGGGACAAACTCCAGCGCCGCCGTCAGGATTCGAGCCTGGAGCTGCTCTTCCGTTTCATACTCCTCGTCCTGCTCCTGGTCACTTTGTGCAAACACAGGGTAACAGCTTACAAAGCGTGAAGCACAATTTAAACACAAGCACAAGTTAAACTTGTCTGAATTAGCATTTTGAGACAGACTGCTCAGGAGGTGGAACAGCAGCAGAGCTCACAAACAGCTTCTTAATGACTGACCCGCGGCTTGGTTCAGAATCCTGCTGGGAGGTGTACTCATCGTGGGTTGTGGATGACGATGATGATGAGGAGGAGTAGGACGAAGATGCAGAGTGTTTGTCAGATTTGGACTCGTCCTTCAGTCTCAGCGCTGCACAGTGGAAGCCTCGTCTCAGGCTGCTGCACTGAGGGGTTGTTGATGTCGGTGCAGCGACCACTGGAGGAGGGCAGAGATTTTGCTCAGTCTCCAAATTAACTCGGTTATTCTGGCTTTTCATTAAGAACGGTTACTGGGTAATAAAAGTATGAGCTGGGACGACGTTGCTCACACAGGGGTGGGAGGAAGCACCCTGAACAAGCAAGTTACTCATTCACCACATGTGTCTTTGAATTTCAGCAACTAAACATAACACATAAGCAAATACTCTTGTTTAAAATTTGTTTTCAGTTTGCTGGTGTTTGTATTTTAATTTACCTTTATTTTGTTTACATACAAGTAGTTTAAGCAATTCTGTTTTACTAGGGCAAATTTCAATCAAGTTGGAAGAACCCAACATCTTTAAATTATTTATGTAGGATTTTTCCCAGTGTATTATAAGCCTGGCGGGCCACCAGGCTTTACTTGTGCTCCCACCATGCTAAGCATTGCTTATTTATTTAAGTTTTTTTTTTCTTTAAATGTTTGCATTTTTTAAGACTTTAAAGTTTAAAAGTTATAAAGTTTTTATAGTTCAGCTATTAATCTTCCAATCTTTCAGTAACACGTAATCATCAAGTGATAGTTTTCAAACTTCTTGTCAACTTAAAAGATTTTTAACTCAAAAACACGGCGGGTTGCTTGCCATGGATCATGGATCAGTAATCTGGGATCAAATACCACCAAAAAAACCAAAACACACACACACACACACACACACACACATATATATATATATATATATATATATATATATATATATATATATATATATATATATATATATATAAGAAAATCCATAAATACCAACTAGTTCTGCTTGAACTAAAGGCTAATGTCCATAAACATGTTAATTCATCGTGAGACAAAATGAAGCTTTATTTTACTTTTCTCTGTTGTTGTTCCGAACAACTATTGAGATTAATATCAAATTTAAATACTGACACAGTCCAGCTTATATCGGCGACTGTGCTATCCGTTGAAAATGTTGTCATGAAGCAAGAAAATAAACAAGTATACTCAGCTGTTTATAGTCGATTTATTAGAACAACGCTTGCCATAACTGCAGATAAACACGCCCCTCAGCTGTAGAGACTAACACGTTTACAATGCACTGCAATACAATTAACAAATGCCCGATTTTATGACTTAAATACTTAATTTTTACAAACCGTACGCCGCCGAAAGGTAACCTGTTTACTGTCCTTCATGATCACCTTCGGTTAGCTAACGTCAAAACTGGCTTCTTTGTTTTTCTTTTTTCAAAATGTAAAACTGAAACAGAAAGATTTGTAGGCGTGTTTTTGGTCTCTTGGGTGTTCTGCGGTGAAACAAAGCAAGAACGAGTCTGTCTTACCGCTGGGTAGCCCTCGGAGGAGCCTTCCAGCTCGCAGTGCTCTCAGAAGCGCCGCCATAACAAGCCGCACAATTGGGAGGTTCGCAGCTGCGTCACTTTACCGCGACGCAAATTTACCGGAAGTGTAGTTTGAAACCAAACTTGACTGCCAAAACAATTTAAAATTAAAATTGATATCACTCAATTTTTTTTTGTACATGAAACCCAATATTATGCAAAAGAACAATTATGTATTTAGTAATAAACATACATCACCACATTATCCCTGTTTGTATTAAATTCTTTAAAATGTTGAATTTAAAAAAAAAAAAACATTTTATTTTGAAAGATAATAACCGGAAACACTTCCCTTCAATTCACTTAAGCGACTTGTTTTGTGTAAGTACCGTGAGAAGAGCAGGTGAGTCATTGAGAGAAACCCTTTTAGTTTTTATTTTAATTGGTTAATAGTACTTTTTGGAGGTGTTTTACATCGATAACTCGAAATCGTTATGTATTTTTCCCGGGAGTGGAAGTTGAGCAGGCTCTCGCCGTCTAAACAACGTGTCAAAAAACCTCAGAAGTGTCGCTAATGGCTATAAACTGCGTCACTATGTCGGTTTTTAGTAAAAAAGAAGAAGAAGAAAAAAGATTTTCACCAAAGATAAGTTTTGGTGGCTCGTTGTTGATGTTTACACCGAGTGAGGATTTTAATTTGCGGCTTTGTGACACAGTCGACGGAGAACATTCTAGATAACTGGTCAGCTCATCTTCAAGGTTTTATTTCTACACTGGGTGATTTGTGAATTGGCCACTTTAAGGGCAAAGTCAGTGATTCACATCATTTAGTAATCAATGTTTAAAACTCAAACATTGATTCTTAACTGTAGCCTGGACCATCATATATGCTGTATAAGTGTCATTTTTGTTCCCATCTTTCAAAATCTGAGCAGTATTAAAACGTATGGAATTATTATTTGTTTTTTATATATATATACAGAATTTGGAAACCCAAAACGGCACGCTGGGTGCTGCTAGAGAGAAGCAAAAATGTAAAGTGTGCACACTCGCCTGTATTTGTTTTTATATATATATATATATATATATATATATATATATATATATATATATATATATATATATATATATATATAAAAATAAGGCACTTCAGGCTTGAGGCCTTTTCTCAAGATTAGAGTTCAGAAATCTACAAACTGATCTGGAGCCAAAAACATTCTCATTTTGATCTGGATCCTGGCCGGTTTCTAGTTGGGCAGTCTGTGCTTTACATCTATGTATAATAAAACAATTATTCAAAAAATACCAAACCTCAAAAGATAAAACCATAAGTTGAGAAAGTTAGAGAAAGTCCTGGGTTTATATTGTAGTGATTTTTAAAAAATGCACTTACTTAAAGGTCACATATAACTTTCAAAGGTTAATTATAATTAAACCTTCCAGGAAATAATGTAATTATTGTCATGTTTTTTTTTCCCATCGGGATGTTGGTCTGAGCTCAAAGGGTCACGTGATGTAAAATTGGTGGTTGACGACGTCGACAGATCAAGGAAAAGAACAGCAACCCTGTCATTTCCTCTGTTGTTTTGTTGACATATAAATACTGCCTGCCTTTATGTTGCTGTGTTGCTTGAGCATTGTGATTAAAGGTACTGACATATTATGAAGAACTGAAACCCCATCTGCAGGTTCAGACTGAGTCCTAAATGTTGTGATCTAACCTTATCTTATTTTTTTTTCAGAAAATGTTTCTAATTTTTAGTTTTCGCAGTGATTTGTGAATTATCAAATTTTTTTTTTAAAAAAAGGAAAATGTACAATTGGAACAATTTTGATTCATCTTTCCCCAGGAAAGCATGGCTGACCTTGGTATCAAAGCAGGGGACAAAGTGTTGCTGGTGTGGACTCAGTTGTCAACACCAGAAACCTTGAAGCAATACGCGGAGGAACTTGGGGCAGCAGTGGGTGCAGATGGAAAAGTCTCAGTGGAGAACATGGAGAGACTGTCACTCTGTGAGTCAATCGCCCACCAATTTAATTATTCAACCCAATTAAGTTTAATTGGTGAAACATCAATGTATTCTTCCTTGGAATTATTTTACTGTATTGAAACATTCAGATTATGGCCAAGCTTTCTAGTAAAGTTTACCCTGTTTTGAGTTGAAATCTTAAAATCAGATATAATATAACCAGGGCTAGACAATAACATTTTTCTATTGAAGGCATGAGTAGAAAGTCTTACAGTAGTTCTCCCTTCTTCATCACAGCCTCTCACGCAGCTTCGTCCTTTGACTGGGTGCTCTCCTGTCTTTTGGCCGACTGCTCCTACAGCCACAGTCCAGACACTTTAGCCGAGATGGTCCGAGTGCTGAGACCTGGTGGGAAGCTGCTCCTGGATGAACCAGTCACAGGTAAGATGAATCATTCCTTTCAAGTTGCTTTCTGGTCTCTTGTTGGGTAGTTCGGTCACTGTGGCTGACCCTAACGCAGCCTCACCAGAGACCCTTCTGTCTGCCGTTTTTGTCTGAAATACCCGGGAGGCCACAGTGTTGGACTACATGTGTGACTTAGGGCACCTGGCAAACCGGATTTGTTACCCTTCACCTGCAATGTGTGCATCCAGTAAGGTTTAGTACTAAGAAAGTAGCTTTTTCGTGTCTGTCGTAAGTGTAAATTTCTTGTCTGGATGACGTTTGTCTTCAGCAGTGCTGCATTCGTTCTGTGCTAAAAAGCTTAGCACTACTACAATATAAATATATGCTTTTTAAAAAAAATAATTTTCTGTACATATGTGCAATGATAAAGGCTTAAATTCTATTCATAATGGTCTTAAAAGGTGCTAAATATGTGTGATAGTGTTCACATAAGAGAATGGTGAAGACCTTGGAATCATTAGGATTTATGTTAGTGAAGCACAACTTTTCTAACCGCAGTCCTGCTAAAAAGCCCGAGGTTGGTTCTCTAAATGAACTGTGTTTGTGTTCCAGGCACAGAAGCACAAACGATGAGGACTGCAGAGAAACTCGTGTCGGCTCTGAAGTTGTCTGGCTTTGTGTCGGTAACAGAGGTGAGTGAGAAGCCAGGGTTCAGTGAAATGTCCCAATTTATTATCTGTACATGGCAGAATTATTAGCCAAATCACTCCATAGAGTTTAAACAAGAATATCAAGCCGTCACTAGAATTAATTCAGTGGCTTGGTGGTTACACTGTTGCTAAAACCTCGTTTGGTTTGGGTTTTTTCTGAAGTTTGTTCCTTCTGCAAGTCCTGGCCATGTAGGTCAACTACAGGGTGGCTGGATTAAGAAATGAAAGACAGTGGAAGAGTGAGTTGTTTGTCAGTAAGCTCGTTCATCTGAATTTTTGTTTTCTTTCTACTCTTTTGCTGATTTTTGTCATTAATAATAGTGGTGGGAAACGTTGGATGGTGGAGGGAGCAAAAGATATCTGTAGTCTGGAGAAATTTCAAGAAAAACACAAAGGATGGTAGAAAAAGAAGCCACCTGTGAAGAGGAGGGGGCGAAATGCGGCCCTAAATAAAGCACAAGTGATTTTGTAAAGGGAAACGAAACGATTCTGGTGGCTGCAGCCCAGCACAACCACACTGTGACCAATAGTGTGCTCTTCTTCCAGAAACATGAAAAAGAGCAGAACATTCTGCCATCATAGGGATGCGGGGCTAAAATGTATTGTTTTCTTAGTTTGTATTTTAATTGAAATATTTGGTGGTTATATGTTCAGGAAAACCTGTAAAAAAAAAAAAAAAAGGAATCTTATTTTAAATGTGTTTTAAATGAAAATAATAATATAATAAAATAATAATAAAAAGGTTGAAAAACAAAAAAAATCACAAGATTATCTGTTTATGATCTGCTGACCCTCTTGCTGTCTCTTCGTTCAGGTCAGTAAAACGGAGCTGAGCCCCGAGGCGCTGAGCTCCCTCAGAGCAGCCACTGGTTACCAAGGAAACACTCTGACCAGAGTCCGCGTGTCTGCCTCCAAACCCAACTACGAGGTGGGATCCTGCAGCCAGATCAAACTGTCGTTTGGGAAAAAGACGCCGAAGCCTGGTGAGTTCACAAAGATGGTCTGTCGTTTAGTCGTCGTTTTCATGCCGGCTTCAGCAGCTTTTGTTCATTTCAATGTGTATAAATGGTAACATCTGTGTGTTCAGCAGAGAAACCAGCTCTGGATCCCAACACTAAGAAAATGTGGATGCTGTCGGCGAACGACATGAATGACGACGATGTGGTGAGTTCAAAGGCAGTTCGATTTCTCAAAAACCACCATGACTAAAATTCTGGTTAATGTTCAGTTTCTGACTTGTTTTGCTGTTTTAAGATGAGTTTAGATGTGAAATATAAAATATGGCAAATATGAGTCATTTCACTGAGGACTGTTTTATATTAAATATAGATTTAATGTAAAATTGTGCAAGGTTATAGCAACATATTTATTAGTTTATCAGATTTCCACAAACTGAGCATTAAAAAAAAAAAAAAAGGCGTAATCTAGCTGCAGCCTCCTGAAGCGGGTCATCTCCGTTCTGCTCCGTTTGCTGCAGGACCTGTTGGACTCCGACACTCTTCTCGACGAGGACGACCTGAAGAAGCCAGACCCAGCTTCTCTTAAAGCTTCAAGCTGCGGCGAAGGAAGTGGAAAGAAGAAAAAAGCCTGCAAGAACTGGTGAGCTCGCACCCCCTTAAGGTTTCAAAACCCTCCAAGGTCAACTTTCATTTCAAGGTGTAAGCCATAAGGTCAGAGAGGTCAGAGGTTGGGCTATTCTCAGACGACATGCTGATTTGAGGTCCTATTATATCTACATCTGATATAATGTCACTACGTCATTTCAGAGTATTAATATTTTCAGATTCTGTCATTGTGCAGCACGTGTGGGCTTGCTGAAGAATTGGAGCAGGAGAGCAAAGAGAACCAGAAAACCAACTTACCAAAGTCTGCATGTGGAAGTGTGAGTAGTGTAATAAAAAAAAACAATCCAATCAAAATGTCGTCTTCTGTTTCCAAATGATTAAAATGATATTGATGTATTTTATTTGTGCTAGTGTTATCTTGGCGATGCCTTCCGCTGCGCCAGCTGCCCGTACCTGGGAATGCCAGCGTTCAAACCGGAGGTCACGAACACAAACATCGCTTTTCAGGACAAGCCAAAACGTCCCACAACGCTTCAGGACATCAACATTCCTCTGTTTCCATCCACTCAGAACTCGCCAGCCCCTCGGGAGAGAGGGGGGGGGTGGTTCTCACTGCGATGTCGTTTCCCATGAGGCACCGTAACGCCACGACGGCTTTACAGGTCGTTCAACAAGCGAGAACCTAAACAACTCTTTCAAAATTTTTCATTTGCAATCGATATATCTATGCGATTCGGTGCCTGAATTTAGAGGATGCCAGATTTTTCATGGGTCAACAGAAAATGGAAGTGAAAACAGCATTTTTTTTCTGGTAATCTAGTGATGAAACTGTTTACCTCAGTCGTCTGCTGTTTTTTTTTTATTCATTCATTAAAACTAATCACAGAATAGAAATGTTATGTTCCGACATCGTCAGAGCTGGAACAGGGAGCCTCATCAAAATGTAGAAAGCTTCACTGAAATGGTTGAACTGAAGTTTATTTATGTATGAAGTCATTTCACTTTCTGTCATTTATTAGAAATAAACTCCAGACTAACTGAATTTAATCTACAGAATGTGATGAAGACCTCTGGTACTTCAGGTTTTGTCGTCCTTTGTTGTTGCCAGCAGTGTGTGCCTGTCAGTAACCGATCAACCAGAGGATCTTTATAATTTTTTTTCAACAATTGTATAATATAACGTAGAACAATCTTTTACTCTCAGGGCACCTGAAGATGTTACTTCTGTTTTATTCCACTCTGTTTATGTTTTGTGTTCCAAACTTTGCTTTCTTCATCTGTGCAAAGTTGCAAGTTTTACATAAATGAGTTCATGTCTGATTTTCACTATAAAACAAAACAGTGGCTCTGTTGGAGGATAACTTGTGTAGGAGGTTTTTATGTCTCCATGTTCGGCCCTGAGGATTCCTGATGTCGACATGTCGTTAAAAAAAAAAAGGCAAACTGTAACTTCTGTCATTACAGCAACAGTAAACGCAGTTAAATATGCTCTAAATAAGAGACTTGAGGTAAAACTTTTTCAGTCAGGTTTGGATTCACATCAGTGACCCGTGATGCTGAAGTCCATCTTGACGTCTCCTAAGCTGGGCTCGAACGTGAAGCTGTACGACACGCCGGTCCTGCCGTCGCCTAAACAGTCCCACGCCGACCTCAGGAAGTAAACTCCCTGCTTCCTGTGTCGACTCCACTCGCAGTCCCCCTGCAGGGGAAACAGAAAAAACACCTGCTGTCAGATTTCAGGCAAATCTGAATGATTTTAACAATTTGAAAATGACTTATTTTTCCAGATTTGCTTGCACAGATGACAAAAGGGGAAGGTACCTGCTCACTGATTGGTTGAGTCAGACCCCCACTGACTGTGACATCAGCAGTCAGGTGATATTCCATCCACAAGGCAACGCCGTGACATCGGCCTGTCCTGAAACCCGATTTTTAAACACAGTTTAGCAGAAATACCAAGCGCTACCTTCTGAATAAATTAAGCAGCAGTAGAAGAAAATTTAACTAAAATATAAATAAACCTGTTTAAAAAATAATTTCTCCCCTAAGCTGAAGGTAGCATTTTTTTTTTACAGGAGTTTGTAAAATGATGCACAAGGAAAACAGACCTTCCTTATCTGAAATATGAAGCTACTCAGTAAAAATAACCTAAATGAAAAAGTGCATTCAATTAAAATAATTTAGCTACCGTAAACAAACAAACATTCTTCTGATTCTCCATCGGTAGCGTCTCAAGGAAGGAAGCAGATCCTACCTTATGAACGGCAGCGAGCCCTGGCTCCTGATTGGCTCTTGAGGGACACACTGTGTGAAGTCAAAGGTCATGACAGCAGCGGGGTGAGTGAGAGCTCGACATGGATACTCCCACAGCGGGTGGGGCTCTGCTTCACGGGACTCACGGAAATCCAGAGAGCGCTGAGGAAACACACAGCCTGAATCCACCTACTGCAACTTCAGCTCAGCTTTATGAACTCGGCTCATACCTTTTGTTTTTGTTTTCCATTCATGGGTGATTTAAAGACAGGTCTACATTTTCCAATACAAAAACACACCTTGACTTTTATTATTGTTAAAACGTCACCCTAGTCATAAATAACTTAAGATTTTAGCTTGACCTTGATCTTTACCTGGACCATCTCATCCATGGGAGAGACGTCGAAGCCTTCGCACTTTCCACACGGCGCTCTTATTCTCCACAAATCCTAACAATAAAGAAACATAACACAGTGATTTATTTTGAAATCTTAATGGATTCGCTTGAAGTTCATTTGAAATCGTGACACTTTTCAGCACAGACGGAAATACCCGGAGCCTTTCAAAGGAAACAAAGGAACGGCTCTACTAGGAACGAGCTCAAAAAGATACAAGCACGTTAAAATAACTTTAAAGTAATTACATTTTTTAATTACGCTCATCGAGTTTCTACAACTCTAAACTGAAATGTAATTGTGCATAAAAGTTGAATTGTTCTGGTAACATCTTGTGTGCCTTTTGGATGACGATGGATCAAAAAGGCTCGATCGTCTGACCTGGAACTCCACGGCCACAACATGCAGGGAGGCCGAGCAGGGCAGGATGGTGGCAGTGGGCCGCAGGAGGCCCGCCAGAGCGGTCCGACAGTACCAGAAGAACAGGGAGTGCCACGGCAGGAGGCTGGTGCTGAAGTACGGCTCCCCCATTAGGACGGAAATCTGCAGGAGACATAGCACCAGGTTTTAGATGATAAAAACGTAACTGGGTCTTTAACTTGGACAGTGTTATTTTAAACAAATAAAACATTAATAAAGTTACTTTTTGATTACTTTGCTTTGATTAGGACAGAATTACTAGAGCTGCAAATTGTATTTATTTGAGATATGGATGTTTCATTGTTATGTTAGCCCCAAACGTTTTTTTGTTTTTTTTTTCTGCTCAAATAAATCCCAGTCTGAGAAACCCTTCTTTACTGTTTTGAGGTGATTTACATAATAAAATTATTCTGATTGTATCTTAAAAAAAAGCTTTCGACCGCCTGTATTTTTTGTATTTTTGGAGGTTAGGTCTCACAAAAATACTAAAAAGCAACACTTGTTCCAACTCCCTACTTTCCAACTCGGCACTAGCTTGATGTTCATAGAAGCACATCAGTGTGAAAGATACTATTTCTGATAAAAATGCCTGTTCTCATCCTCTTGCTCTGTTTTGAGTGAAATGTCCTGCTGCGGGGTGTGACCGTCGTTCAGAGCGGTACCTGCTCTCCTCCGAGGTCCTGACTGGTGAGCTGATCAGGCCTGACCTCCAGCAGTTCCACCCCGCCTTTCTTAGAGTTGGCTTCCAACACCTGCAGAGCAACGTTAATCAGAAAATGTCACATTTTTCTGTAACAAAAAAAAAAAGAAAAAAACTGTTCAGATTATGTAGCATTTGTAGCTTTAGCAAAATTTATTCGACAGGACTGGCAACAAGACGGTTGTTTGGAGTGCAGTGGTAGCTGGCGTCTGGTTTAGGTGACAAAAAAAAAAAAAAAGTGTCCAGAGAATGAGTTAATTAAAATCTGTAGTTTGAACTCCACTCTTCAAATGCCTCTGGATTCATTCCTGCGCCAAAGTGCCTGAATGAAGCTGATTGTGGTCACAAATAAAGACCAGGGCTTTCCAAAGCTTGCCAATTCGGCAAAGAGCTTATTAAGTCTTCCCTCTACTAATCACCATCCCATCATTTGGTACCAAACTAAAGCCTTCAGACAATAACTTTGTGGTTTTACCTCCTCGATGACTTGTTTGGACATTTTGGAGTTTTCCAAACTGAACACCTGAGTCAGCACAACAAAAACAAACAAACAAAACACATTAATACCAGAACCTGAGCAGGGACATTTGGATCGCAGGAGCTGCCGTACCTTCTTGGCTCCCAGCATGTGAGCGAACACAGGAAGCAGACTTCCATCGCTGACAGAGAGACACACGCTGTCCTCGCTCAGAACCTGGAGGGACCGCCGCGTTAATAAAACGCACGCAACCGCAACCTGCGTGCACTCGGTCGCGACGACGGCGCTACGTGCGCCGTGAGTTCGCCGAGCGAGGCCGAGCCTGGCAGGCGCAACGCGGCCGAGGCGGCGGGGTCCCAGCCCGGGCCTCCTGGAGACTGAAACACCGAGACAGGCAGAGAGGTTCACCACACTGAGGACAAAACGTCGATTAATTGGGGAAGTAATGACAAAACAAAGCTGTGCGAGCGGACCTGTGAGGCTGGAGGCTGTACCACAGGCTGTAGTCGTCGTGGCAGACCGTCAGACTGAGCTCCTCCTGCTCAGCCACCTGGCGCTCTGCAGGCAGGAAGTAGACACTCTGCATCCAGTGATCCCGCCACTGAAACACACCAGCAGGACTCCCTGGGTTTACTGGAGAAACTCAAAGCCGGTTTTTCATCTCAGGTCAAATTATTGATGTTCTCAAAGGGCTGGTTTGAGAACATCAATAAAACAGTCAAGATATGAAGAACAGCTCTGTCTGCATGCAATGATTTGTATAAACTAAATAATACTGTACATCTTGTCACACTGACCGGTCCCTCCAAGATTTTAAAAATATTTGTTCCTCACCACATTGACTGCAAACTACAACTTGACATTAAGCAAGAAATGCTGCCACCTGCAGGCGAGAGTTAGCATAACTTAAACCCTACGTTTAAGTGATGTTTCGTTTTCTTGTGGAAAATTGCAAAAGACTCACAATTATGGATTCACACAAAACATTTTGTGTAAATCAGTTGATTTTGCATAAATTTCAACCATCAGAAAATCATGAAAAACTGGATGGGCTGATCTGTAATTTGGCATTAAACAGATAAAAACGTCTGCGATTTAATTAATATGCTGATATTTAAGAACTCTGGGATTTAGAGGGCAACATAAAAAGAAATGGCGGGATGGATTTGGACCCCAGACCTTACGTTTCACACATTCAGATTCAGATATTCATCCATGTCCAAATAGGGAATTAATACGACATAAAGTCACAGTAAAAACAACAACACACCAACAATTGATATTTAACTAGAGGGTGCAGCTTTTAACTCCACTGCTTCAATCAATGGAGGTTAAAAACACAAAACTCTTAAATCTTCTGCACCTATTTAACCCCCAACAAGCTTTG